CACACACACACACACACACACACACACACACACACACACAAACACGTATACATACAGACAGAAGATGCATACATATGCACAAACATGCATATACATATATATATATACATCTACATATATACATGTACACGCGCGCGCCACATACATTTAGTTATTGACATTTGCTCTTCACTTATAATGCCGACGCAAACGCATTTCGTTATGTGAGTGTGTATGCATGTGCGAGCGTGCATGCAGACAGAAAAAAAGCTTACATACTTGTCGACAGAAATGCAGCAAAACAAATGTGTAACAACAACAACAACAGCAACAGACATCCATCCACAAATCTTATGGGATCAAAATGACTTCGGCTGGCAGACAAAATATTATGTTAACGCAATTAATAGAGAGTAGAGTAAAAGAGACGACTCTCTCTATCGCTCTCTGTACGTGCGTGCTCTTTATTTGCATTTGTTTACATTCAATATTTGATGATATCTTCTGTCTCATTTTAAACTCAGGCTATTTTTATAAGCACATACAAATACATATAAATGACAATGTCGGTTGTCTTTATTTTTATTTTCTTTTGCCTTTTTTTTTTTTTTGTGTTTATTCTTTTTTTCCTTCTCTTTTTTTGTATTTTTGTATATATATATATTTTTTTTTTTCATTTATTTGAGAACTGCAAAACACATATACGTAGGTATACGATTGTATATACGTAGATATGTGTGTATGCATATGTATACAAATATGTATATATATATATATATATATATATATATATAGATATACGAATATAACAGGCTTTGAAGTATTATAACCAACCACCCTCAGTCTGTAGTCTGTATGTTGTTCTTTTGAAGAAATAAGCCACCTACTCGCGGCTGACATGGGCAGCGATAATGGCAGCTGTGATGTTTACGTTGGCGACAACGTTGACGACCAACAAATTTATGTGATCCTTAATTTCGTTATAATTTCACATTCGCATATCATTTTAAATTTGATCGGCCGCGAATACGTACCACATCGTTTTCAGAGTCTGTCATTGTCTGGTTCATGTTCCAATTATATTTTAATGTGCGTTTGTACTGTAATGCACTATCGCCGTGTACCGTTTTCTGGGCTATAAATTTGTCCTTTAGCATAAGCGAAGACCTCATCATCATGTTAATCATGTTACCAGCCGCCTAGTTTTTAACGTCAATCATCGAGACATACTCTGAGACGCGAGTGTAAACGTGATTGCGCATCCAAATCTACGAAACTTGAAGCAAAACTGTGTTACCCATAGTTAAGGCAGCAGAATCCGAAGTTAAGCCACACGTCGCACTTCTTCGACACATATATTGAACTTTTCTCAGCTCTCTGCAGTCCATCACCATTAGTTGATGCTGGATCGAGTTAAATGAAAAACGCAAATTTCATTATTCGTCAAACTGTCGGTGTCATAGCGCCAGAGTATTGTTGGTTTTTTTTTTTATTATTCAAATTAACTCTCGTGCCACAAACTTTTTGAAAGTAGACAAAAATAAGTGAAAAAAAAAAGAAAAAGAAAAAAAAAATAAAAGAAAAACGGAAGACACAAGAAAAGCATAAACAAAAACCTTTAGGATTTCGTCTCGAACAAAGTGCAAATCAAATAGTAAATATTCCGAAGATGCGCTTCGAAAATTGAATAGTGTTAACTGCAGCTGTTGGTGAAAATTAAAATTACAACAGACGTGCTTATACTATTACCCTTTCGGCGGGATATTTACGTGTTTAATAGTGTTTTCACGCGTTTTCAAGGAATATATTGAAGAAATTATATTAACAATCCGGTCAGAGATATCGGACTCGTGCGTTTATAAAATGAAGAAAGAAATTTACATTGAAATCTAAAAATAAATAATTAATTAATAGGTATTGTGCGACCGACATCCAAAAAAACTAATCAAATAATTTATTACCAAAAAAAAAAACCGAATAGAAAGTATTTTGCGTACTCATTTGGATCGCGTTTAGCGGTTCACTTTTGGATTATACGATTGATTTCTTCAAAACGTATATCGATTCGCGATTTTACGCCGGCCACAAATTGGATTTCAAACAACAAAATTGTGCCGGCGGCCCTGGATCCGGTGGTGGAGTCGTCGGCAATAATAGTAGCCATCATCCACATCACCATACGGGACAATTGCAGGGGTTAGCGAGTGCCGCTACAAATCATAGCGGTCATCATTCCCATCATCCTGGATTGCATACGCATCTTGTTAACTCAACAACACAACAACAGATAACCGCATCTTCTCAGCAGCCAAACGCGACAACTCCGTCGCAACAAAATTCAACAACACAACAGCAGCAGCAACAGCAGCAATTGCATACCGCCGGATCGGCAAATGTAGGTTTGAATAGTACTAGCAGCGGCGGTACACCCGGTAGTGCTGTAAGTACAGCCGGTTCAAGTTCGGTTTCTTCGACATTGGTTATTGGCGGTAATACATCCCCTGCCTCTGGTCATCCACACAACGATACACTTTCATCTACCCCGGTAGCTATAGCTACGTCCATAAGCGCACCTTCTCTTACCCACGTAGCACCTCCGAGCCTCGGTCTTAGTCCCCAATCAAGCGCCGATTCTCAACAATTTAACATATTTCCAGCAATATTTAGTCGTCAACTTAACTTTTCAGCCGCCGGCGCTTGCGGTCAAAGCAAATTAACAATGGACGAGTTACGGCCGAATTTGGTCGGTGGACTTTTGGGATTGCAGCAAGGTTTGCTCGAAGATCATGCCGCCAATATGCAACATGGTGGCGTACCGCAGGATACAAAATTTATGTCCTTTCAAGATAATCGTCTAATGGGCATCGGTTCAACTCATGAAAATCGCCTTCTCGGCTTAGCCACATCCGTACAGGATACACGTTCACCCGCCATTTCATCCATTGACAAATCCTCCCTAAATCATCAGCGAAAATGTAGCAGTACTCCAGAGGATTTCAGTTCATTGTATACTGGACTGCCAACACCTGGCATTGATACATCGTCGCATCATCATACACCCGCTCATACACCACCGACACGTTTAACCGACCACACGATATCCGGTAATTATCATATTTTCTCTTTAATACCTTCAAAAAGTAACAAACAAAAGGTCAATTTAATCCTTTTCTAACAAAAGTGGCAACACTACTGCACTGTTAGTAGTACAATACGGGTCGTGTCACGAATTATTACTTGTGTGCTTTGAATTAATCTTTCAACACCGGACAGTTTTGTATACAATGCAATTGTTGTTTGCTATTCTTTCCTATAAATTAATGTCGAAACTGTCTAATGTTCAAGCAAACAAACGCATACGTCACAACTTATTGATTCAATTGTTTGCTTGACTCTCGCACATACAACGGAACGCAAATCTTTTAAAATGCTTAACTAATGAAACTCAAAACTCTGCCTTCTCTGCACTCGATCTATGTTGATTCGTATTCTACGCCTATGTGCATTTCAAACAAACAATCGCGGCATAATTTTATTGCCATTTTTATACATTTTCGATATATATATATATTTTTTTTATCTTGGACTTGGACTTTCAAATTCTTCAAATTCTTAATTTCATTATTTTTCATTGTTTGTTAACGCAATTCGTTAATTATGGATACGTTCGAAATAGGGAGCAAACGAAAGTAAAAATTGATTTTGAAGATTTTAGGGCCCGTGTACTTGACTGTTTGCAATTAAACCCTAAGGAGTTCTGCTGTGCTTCTTTTACTTTGTACTCGCTCCGGGGTGATTTGAAAATGGCTCAAGTACGCATTGTTCAAAAAAAATAAAAAAATAAAAAAATAAAATAAATAAATAAATTAATAAACAAAAAGATAAAGATAAACATAAAGCAAGGAAACGTATCCGTCATCTCGCCACGAAAATCTGAAAGATCAAATTTATACCTGGGCAGAAATTTATCGCAAGAGGTTTTAGTATAAATAATCTAAAAAAATTCACTACCACCATCTTGTTGATCTAAGATTATTAACAACCGTGACGAGAAGGTGTGAAGAGAACTTTTCAAATTTCTTCTCATATTAGAGAAGAAGGGGGAATGATCGCCAATGCATTATAAAGTATTTCGGCTAGATGCCGTCCTTTGAACGTCTGGACATATCCCCTAAACATACAAGATCGTACTTACACCGTTAAGTATCTATTTAGGTAGAATTAGCTTAGGTAAGTTTACACTAAGTGACAAGTAAACAGAGTTAGTTACCTTTAAAATCTTATTAAGCTATCCAACTTATTAAGCTTATTAAGTCTTTGTGATCTGAAAAGCTTATAAGGTATTTAATTAAGGCGAACTGTTCGGCGAACTTAACCGAAGCCTTCTTGTTTTTGCTTCTGAGAATATACCTTAAATGAATTAGGAACGTCCGCAGTTCTCTTGCGTGCAATTACAATATTTCTTTTTTTCATATCTCTTCCTCTTCTTTTTTGCAATCTAGTGCCTCGCTGCTACGAACTACGAACGCGCTGCTATGAAGTGTATTCACAGATTCCATCATTATCTCGTTAACAAAACCATCAGTTGTTCGTTCATTAAAACGAGATTAGGTGAGATTAGGTTAAGATGAACGCAACCCTAATAGCGTAGGTTCAATTGTGCAATCTGTAGCCTAAGGCTATATCAGAGATACATGGATGATTTAAGTTCCAACCAATTAACTAATTTTTCAATATCTGAGTGATAGACTTTCGAACGGTTATGAACGACGAATAGGAATCAGATGGTTAGACTTGGCGGCCGTTACGAGAACAGTTTCAGGAGAGAGAGAGAGAGAGAGAGAGAGCAGTTTTTTTGATATATTTGCCAAATCTGTTACGTCCTGTTTCTGAACTGACCTCGGAGAAGATATTTTGAGAGATTGGTCCTATTGATCATTCGTAGTAGGTCTGATTATTCTAGTACAAGAGCATTTGCGACTGAGAATTCTTTTATTCATTATGCGTAGTGATATTTGTTCGTGTTCGGTTCGAGAGAATTTTGCAATATTTTTGAAGAAAGTGAAAATGAAATGAATCCACGTATGAACGATTAATTTCCAAGAAGTGCAGCAACAACCTGGCTCTCTATATGCTTGAGTGTTCCAATCATGCTAAAGATCCCAAATCTTTTCTGAAAAAAAGCATATTTTACCCGAAATAATTCCTTCCATCATAGCCGTCAAAGATTAGCTTAATGTGGCCCATATGTTCTCAGGAAATTTTATTCTTGTGCGGATTCTAGTTGGGTTCTCAGATTCGATCGGTATATACGCACAGTAAGCAAGCGTTCCATTCTTTAGTATTTGTTACCTAATAATAATCTCTACTGTACGTATGTTCAGTATGTGCTTGCTATACTTTGGCTGAATAACGTTATATATGATTGTTTGTGCTACGTATCATCCAAGTTAATGTATTCGGTACAGAGAGCATATGGAATAGACAATGTATTACTAAAGCATAGAAATGTTTGTGCGTCAGCGTAATTGATGTAAATAACTTTTTCACAACTTGCTTGACTTTCAAAAAAAAAAAAAAAAAAAAACATACTGAGGCTTTGCTAAGAAGTTCTTTGAAAAAAATTTTGATTTTTTGTTTGAGTTGTTTAAAATATCAGTGTGAAGCTCACAAGTTTAAGCCGACTAGGATACAGCCATCTTTTGTTTTTACTTTTAAAAATGAAATATTGAAAAATGCACCAGAAGAGCAAAAAAAAAAAAAAATGTTTTTTTTGCATTTGTTAAGACGACCATAAGGTTAATCATTCCATTGGAAAATTGGCTCATCGGCTCATTCCATGGTAGACGATCCTTCAGATTTCTTTCCTCTCTTTTTAAAACTTTAAAAGCGGCTGGGAATTCTCGGCTGTACGATCGCACTTCTCTTAAAATGCTAACTTGCTCGCTTCTATTGTTCTCTTACTCTGAAGATATTTTCACTACTACATGGTAATCATCGCAAGATTTATTTAAATTGCAAAAAAATTCTGCGCCGTTCGTGTGTGTGTGTGTGTGTGTGTGTGGTTTTTCACAAGTTTTTTTTTTTTTTTTCTTTAATTTTTTTCTATTATAGAATACAATTTTAAGTAAATGGTAGTGCGTTCAACAAGCAGTACGATTAAGTCTGTTTCGGTTATCGCGAAAGGGCGATAGGACTCTGACTAATTTTTGTTGGGCCAAAACAATACTTGATGCTTTCGCATTGTATGCGCGTAGGTATGCATCAAAATCATGGGCAAACAACTGTTGGTTATTACATCACTTCTCCCGCTGTGTTATATCGCCGAAAGTTTTTTATCAGCCAATCAGGGCCAACTCGTCCCATCCTATTTGTCTTATGTATAATTGAGTGCAGTTAAAATTCAAAATATCACTCCAATGAAGTCGTCCTGACATGATTAAAGAGATAAAATAAACAACCATATTTCATTAGTTATTGAAGATATTGGTGACACACACGCACACTCACAACACGTACACATCGTAAATATTGCTGCCGAGGTAAGGAAATCGGATAGAAAAGTCTTATCAACTTTCGATTAATACATTATACTAACTTAGGACTGAAGTAAATACATAGCACTGAGTGGACTTTACTTCTGTGATCATATTATTTGAAAGGAAACGACACTGCCAGCCAGTAGCATCACGCATAGCATTTAAGGTTGCTACTCTTTAAGGGTATTGCTTATCAATTAAAAATCGCTTGCTGTTAAGAATGATCTCATCACTGTACTCGTCTGTGTTGCCCACTCCAGGAAACCATAAATATTGTTGTTGTCCTAAATATTGCACTCGATTTCGCGTCTTCCCGCTAAAAGTGTGCCCTCGTTTCGGTCAGAGTAAATCGGCTTAGCTTTATCGAAATTCAAAGATGGAAATGTTCTCCATCTAGTAATACACGAAGAATATACAAGAAAAAAGAAGAAAGACAAAAAAAAAAAAAAGCAACAAGTAAAAAAAGTCATATGCGACTAGCGCCGAATCACACATACCCATCTACATTCAAAGTTTTAGCGCCCCATGCCTCAGGTAAAGTGTTCTTAATCAAGTGAAACAGTTTCTCAGCTTTTGTGAGACCCCCTTAGTGATGATTGATAAGCCAGAAAAATATTGCATAGTTCTTTAATTCTACAAATCTAAATAAATAAAGGAGTATTAGAATTCATGCAATACATATGACATGCGTACATATGGCGGACGGAAAATTTGCAAATGAAATTGCCCGCTCAAAGTTATACATCAAAGCTTGGCTTGTAAAATTGGAGTTTATTTGGTCGAAGTGTGTGCACATTCGCATGAAACATTACCACGTGTCAACGCCTTTATGATAGACAATATATATATGCTTTGTTTCAACACAAGTAAAATAAGAGCCATAGCTTTTTAACTCTACCCGGGCCTCCATCTTGTCTGTTGGATTAAATCAAACATTTTTTCAATTGAGTGAAAGGTTAATTTCGAATCGTAATTTAACTTAACTGCGTACGTGGGCGGCATCTCTGTCAAAAAATAATAATAAAAAAAAAACCTCTGACGTTGCGGAAATTATCTAAAGCCTGATAATGACTTGGCCAGGGTTTAAATGAGAAATATCATCTGCGCAAATTCTTCTTATGTCGCGTATTAACTACTCTATTAAAGTGTTCGCGGGCTTACTAGACGTTGTGTCTGTAAAGTGAGTCTCAGAGACTAAGTTTCTCTTCTCTTTCATTTATCTTTCTCTGGCTAACTAAAATTTCATTTATTAATCGATATCTGTCAAGTTTTTCACTTACAAGCATCGAATCTCTTAATCGAACAAACTCCTGTTTCCAAAGGTAACGCTTTGATACTAATACCGTGCGTATCCAAATCTTTACATGAACGTTCGTTTATTATCTGAACTGCGTTGATGCGCTGACTGTGAGTGTGAGTCGTTAAAGAGAAAAAATTATCGTTAGAAGGGAAAATAGACTTGAATTTGTCCCGATGCGGGCATCCGAGCAATAGATAGAGCAATTTTGTTGATTTGAATAATTTTTAGTTCTTTCTACGCATATAACTTATCTTAAAGTAACTATGTGTATTTGACCTATGACCTTATAATAAGTTAATAATTTTTGCGGCTTCT